GCCTCTGACTTTTGTGTGTTGATTTTATATCCTGCTACCTTGCTAAACTGGTGGTTTTGATTAGTTTCTCTGTGGAGTTTTTAGAGTTTTCCATGTATCATCTGCAAATAAGAATAGTAAGACTAACCACTATTTACATACATCCAGTAGAATAACTAAAATTTAAAGGGTTTACTATACTAAGTTTTGGTAAGTATATGGCAGAACAAACACCTTCACTACTGGTAAGGATGCAGAGTAACCATTCTGGAAAAAATACTGTTAGGATCACAAAAAGGTCAACATACACTTATCACATGAGTTAGTCATTCAACTCCTAGGTATTTATTCAGGAGAAATGGAAGTATATGGCCATATTTGTATGGAGATGTTCATGACAGCTTAATATGAAAGAGCCCCCAAGCTGGAAATGGCTCACATTCCCATCAAATTTGGGGGATGACATAGCTACGCCACAGAATTATTATTCATTAATAAAAAGGAAAGAATTACTAATATGACATGAATGAACCTCAAAATAATTTGCTCCAAGAAGTGTGTGTGTATGTGTGTGTGTTTGGGGTACATACTAATTTCATTTATAGAAAATGCAAACTAGTCTATATGGGTGGGAGCAGAAGAAATATGTTAAGGTAAAGGATTCCTTCATTATCTTGACTTGGGTGAAGTGGGCAAAACACATCAAATTGTACATTATAAGTAGTTTATCATCGATAATACCATAATAAAACTGTTAAGTTTCCCATGAAGTCACACTATACCTGGCTTCCTCACAAGTTATGAAGCTCTGTAGACCTGGGTCTACCTTTTGTAGCATCATCAGGAGTCTACATTAAATGGGAGACCTATAGAAGATCTGGCCTCTGGAGTCAGGAATGCCAAATAAAGTGGCAGTAGTCAAATGGATGTATCTGGCAAATAGGGCTGGCTTCCTTCCTCTGCCTTAACACAGTTGTCCTTCAAACAAGCTGTTTCTACCTGCTTCTAGAGAGTCCACCCTCATTTTTATGTAGCTGGAGTCTCCTCATAAATCAGCATGTCAAGTGCCTTAGTATGTCGAGTGGCTTTACCAAGCACATCTAAATTAGTTCCCTCTCTTCTTCCTGTGCAAAATTGCTTTCTGTTATGATACCTTCATTTCAGATATCACTATCAGAAATCCTTCATCACTTAATTATTTCCTTTCTGTATTGTCTCCCTTTCTCTGTTCTGTTGGCATGCCATGGATTACATTACTAATGGTCCACCCATCCATTTGTGCCTTAAATGTTGGTTAACTCACAGCAACCCATGCCAATGAGCAATTGAAACAGGGCATAGATACATTCCTTAAGAATGTACTCTGCTTGGGACAGGCCTTCTTCTGTGATAAGAGCTAACTCTGTGATGCGATTTCTCCTCAGTTCCATGTGGGATTGGGCTAGAGTTAGACTTCATTTGATGGCACATTCTTGCTATAGATTTTTTCCCTATCCTGTGAGGTTTCTCCTTTCTCCTAGGTGCAATTTGCTAATAAATCACCTGAATTAAGAATTCTCTTCAGTGATGCACACCTGAAACTTACATAGTGTGATAATGAAAGGTAAATTTGATTTTAATAATAAAATTTAAAAAAAAATTCATACACAAAAATGATCTCAGTTTCTGCTTCTAGGAGAACTAACCATAACCCTGTATTAGCTGCAGAGGGGTTACCTTGTTTTCTACTTAGGACAACCCCTCATTACAAGAATGAGTTTGATGAAGAAATATTTTCTATACTTCTCTCAAACAGCACCTGAAACACAGTAGGCACTCAATGAGTCTATTTATAGGGCCTATTTTATAGCTCAACTATCAGCTCCCTTTCTGTCCTGGCTGGCACAGCCTGGCAGCATTGTGAGTCATTGCTGATTGATGCAGCTGGGAGGTTTAGGGATGGGGCCAGGCCTAGCACAGCAGCTTGGCACCTGCAGCACACCCTCCAGGTGAGGCACAGTATGAAATGAGGATTTATTGGGGAAGGGTCCTCTGGAAAGATGTAACCTCAAGGATAGACCCAGTTGTGTTTTGGGGCCCTCTGCCAGCTTCCAGAGACATCTTCCTAAGACAGTCCCAAGGAAGGTACCACCCATCATCTGCCCACATACTCTTAGTGAGGAATTAGCATGTGTGAAATTAATGAAAAATTGAGAACCCTGTGCAAGTTCATTCCTTCTTTGTCCCCCATGGAGGACAAAGGCATCCCTTTTCTCACACAACAGAATGGGGCGGGGGGGTAGAATTTAGCTTCCTTGAGAATGTACTCTGCTTGGGACGAAAGTCATGTCTAGTCTGCACATGTGATCTCAATTTTAAGCATCGATCCTAGCCCATGGCACATGTCCCCAGAATGTCACTAAGCACACGGGTCAGTGATCCACACATATCTGGAGACCAGAATCTGGAGGCATAGGCTATGCTAGGAACCCTGTCCAGATCAGGGACCTGGCACAAAGCAGGTACCAGCTTAAGTTTGTAAACCAACTGATGAGGGGAGTAATGCTGTCCTAATGCTAGACAGCTCATCAGATTCCTTTCAGAACCCGGATGTAAGCCCTGGTTTTGTAATTCTCCAAGACCCCTCTAACCCACAGAACAGAGTTTAAACTTCTAAGCTTGCCTCTTACTGAGCGGCTGACCCCCTTTTCCAGCTTCCTCTCACACTAGTCCCTGCTGAGTCCTGGACACCAACCCTACCCAAAAACCCTTCCCTCACATATGGACCATGCAACTTGCCCCTGCCTAGAGGTGGTCCCTTATCCACCCTCAATTCACCTGCCAAGGTCCTGGGAAATCTACTTGTCTCTGCTATCTTTCCCTCCTCTCTGGGCGGCCCACAACCCTTTCCACAGTTGCCTAGTGCTGAGAGCAAGGCCCAACTCTGGGTGATCATAGGGAACATGAGTCCGGAGAGCTGCTGCTAGTCTCAGTGTGCAGGGTTAGATTCTTTGGTGATCAGTAGAGGGTTAGCTCTGTCTGCCAGAGGGCTCAGCATTGTCCACAGGGTTTCGCGGTTTGAGGGGGCAGCCTATATTCAGCAGGTACACCCGGACTCTTTGTTCCTCAGCAGTTTCTGAGGGTCGCCTTCATCATTCAGGACACCAGGGCACCCGAGGCAAGGGCACAGTCCCGATCACCTGCGTCCTCACGACGCCGTTCCGGGGGCCCCCAAGCGCCCACCTAGGCCCATCTGGCCCTCGCACTGGACGTCCACGGGTGCCTGGCCTCGGGCCACCCCTGCCGCCTATGGGAGCAGCTGCGGCAGTTCTGGGCCGACCACTTCTCGCGGCGCTTTTCTCCACGGCGCCCACCACTGCGCCGCATCTCCTCCATGTCCACCTTCTACTTGCTGGACCCCCGGACGCGCCAGGCCGAGCTGGGCCTCAACTACGGCGCACCGCGCACACGTCTCAGCGATGAGGCCTTCGTGTTCCGCCGCGGCCAATGGAGGGCGGAAGGGCATTCGGTGAGCTCGCCCAACGTAGCGGGCTGGAAGGCACAGATGCAGCAGGCCAAGAACCAGGTGCTACTGGAGGAGAACAACTACCTAAAGCTGCAGCAGGAACTGCTCATGGACATGCTGACCGAGACCACGGCGCGCGTGCACCTGCTGGAGAAGGAGCTGGACACTGCAGCCATCCCGTCCCCCGCAGCGCGCGCCTGGCGGGGGAAGATGCTAAGGCGGCAAGGCGCCGGCGGTGTGCTAGTGACCCAGCCGCGCGCTCTGGAGTCGCGGTGACGTAATAAAACCCGTGCGGCGCGTGCGCACCTCTTTCCTAGTGTGGGTGGGGTTGCTTTCTGGGGGGGCGGGGAGGGAGCGGGCCTTCGAGGGAGGGGGCGACGGGTGCGGGACGCCTGGGCTAGAGGCCGGGGTGAGCCCATGGGTACGCGCAGCGCGCCTCATGGTTGCGGTTGGCAGTTCCCTAGTCAGGGCAACCGGGCTGTGCCTGGCCTTCGCGGCCTGAGCGACTGGGGGCTAAGTCCGGGAGCCCGCGAAACCTGCGGCGCTCAGGACTGTAGAGTGCGGTACGGTGAGCAGGACGGGCGGAGCTCAGGACTACGTCCTTGGACCTCCCGAGGGGTTTCGGTCAGAGTTCAGGTTGCACGTATCTTACGACCAGGAAATCGTGCCTCTGAAAGAAGCGTTGCGCCCTGCCGCCCCCGCTGGCTGTGCGGCTTTAGGCGAGTAGCTTAGCCCGGCGACCAACTCCAGAAGCAATAAATGAACCGCCTGTGTCTCAAACAAGCTCATCCAGCTGGTACACGCATTGAATTTGTTTGACCCAAGTTTAAGGTTTTCCTTTAGATGCCAACGTTGAAGAATTTACAGGTTTTACATTTTAAGAATTCGGATTTCCTGCTTCCTATAGAACAAAACTGCTTCTTGGGAAAAGGAAGGTGTGGCCGGCCTGGATTTCATTGTGTTCAGCCGCACTTGCCTCCAGATCAGCTGTCTGTAACCTCCAGTCAGCTTCCCTAAATCCATTAGGTGCCTATCGCTTATTAGATTGTTCTAGACTAGGTAAGGTGTTCTCGCCCAGTGAGTCTGGTTTCCCCGCCGCCCCTCCCTGCCCCCCAGTCTGGTTTCCCCGCCCCCCTCCACTACCCCCTCTAACCCGCCCCACAAAAGGTTTTTATATTAGGTGCTAGGAAGAGTTTGTTGTACTTGTGAATGATATGAATTCATAACAAAGGTGAGGACACTGGTCCTGACAATCTACAACCTTTCTCCTGGAATGTGGACATGCCATTTCACCATCCATGGCCCATAGGACTGGGACCCATTTCCCTAGGGTCTTGTGTAACTAGTGACGCAATGTGGGTGGTCTGCCTCAGGTTAACTTGCCCTCAGGAGCTGACTAGAAACTACTAAAGTGTGCCGTTATTTATTACAACAGCAAAACAATTCAAAGCATGTCACTACACACTAGCTTTACAAACATTTCTTTTGGATCGTGTTCTTACATGTTAACAATGCTGATATTAAAGTAGGTTACACAGTTTTTGGTAGTTATATTGGCCGTAAGATACAATCTTTTAAAATAACCAAGTAGGGGGCCCTCCCAATGGCCCAAGGGGTTAGGTCCCAGCACTGTGAAGATAGCCAAAGCCACTGCAGCAGTAGCTGACCCACGTGGCCCAGAAGACCTCTCCCTTCTGGCCCACAGTTCCCCTCAGCAATGTACTTGTCAATCTGTCTGTTCTGCTCCGGACTCTGCCTCTGTTTCTGAATCCTTTCACAAACCCTGCACGTCTGGCCTGTGCCCCATTTCTGTATGCATAAATTAAAAAATCTTTAAAAAAAAGAAAGAAAGAGGCCCTCCCTGGTGGAGCATCCAGTTAGGACACAGCACTGCATGCTAGCATAGCCACTTCATTGCGAGTTCCATCCCCGCCCTGGAGGTGACCCACATGGCGAGGCAGACCTCTCTTCACCCGCCCACTGCTCCCCTTAGCAGTGTTCTTCATAGATCTGCCTGTTCTGCTCCCCACTCTGCTGTCTCTGGTGAATCCTCTCACTGCCCCTGCACCTCCAGCTTGTACCCCAGTGCTGTATACATAAATAAATAAAAATCTGAGAGAGAGAGAGAAAGAAAAGTGGTGGTGATTGTGCAACATTGTGAATGTTTTAAAAGCCTTTCAATTATGTATTTTAAAGTAGTGTATTTTATGTATATTTTCCCACAATAAACATACTTTCTAATTTTTTTAAAGATTGATTTATTTATGCATTCAAGAACTGGGTCACAGGCCAGAGGTGGGGTAAGAGGATTCACCAGGAACAGAGTAGGGAGCAGAACAGGCAGATCTACTGAAATACACTGCTGAGGGGAGCAGTGGGCAAGACAGGAGAGGTCTGCTGGGCCATGTGGGTCAGCTCCCTGGTAGCAGATCAAATTCATGCTGCATTGGATTTGGTTTTTGTTTTTTAAGATTGATTTATTTATGCATACAGTACAGGCCAAAAGTGCACGGACGGTAAGAGGATTCACCAGAGACAGAGCGGAGAGCAGAACAGGCTGACTGATGAAGTACACTGCCGAGGGGAGCAGCAGGAGGGCAAGGAGAGGTCTACCGAGCCATGTGGGTCACCTCTGGGGTGGGGATCGAACTCATGCTGAAGTGGCTTTAGCATGAGTTTGGAGAGCCCACAAAGATACTTTTTTACAGGAGGAAAATGCGGCCCTCCCTGATGGCACAGCAGGTTAAAGCACAGAACTAAGAAGCTAACTAAAGCCACTTCAGCATGAGTTCGATCCCCATCCAAACCTCTCCTGACCCGCCCGCTGCTCCCCTCAGCAGTGTACTTCTTCAGTGGGCCAGTTCTGCTCCCCACTCTGTCTCTGGTGAATCCTCTCATTGCCCCTGCACCTCTGACCTGTACTTCAGCTCTGTATGCATAAATAAATAAATCTTTTTTAAAAATAATGGAGGAAAATACTTTACATAAAAACATGATGTAGAAGCTGTATGTGGTGTGGGGAAATAGCAAGAATCATAAGGAATGCCTAAAGTTTAGGAAATACTGTTTTGGCCAAACCTCTTGAAAAATAGTTCTAGGATAAAGAAAAGCTTGTGCCTATCAGACCAGCAGCAAGCACACAGGGAGCCCCATGTTTACAGAATAGTATACATGAAAGTATAGGGCCCAAATTAAATGGGGCAGGAATATATTTTTTAAATAATGCAGTAGTTTATTTTTACATATTTTTGTGCATTTTTCCATCTCAGTTGCAATCTCCGTGGGTTTCCCATCACCAAGTCACCCATGTGCCATCACCATAGTCCAGCGTACTTCCCTCCCCCCACTGTTCTTGATCCCATTCCCTACTCCACTCCCATAAAATGTCTCTGGTATATAGCTGTTCATTATTATTATTTTCTTGCCTGGTCCATTATACACCAGGCAGGAAGATATTTTAAGATATCTTTGTTCTTTCTGTTCTGGAATTTCACCTGCTCACTGAAGCAGCCAAACCCATTGCCCCAGGGAGGGATGTGATAGAGCAGAAAGCAGGAAAAAAGGAGTCTTTGGACTTCTATTAACTGCAACTTTACACCCTCTGGGGAGCAGCTTTCCAAAAAAATATTTTTGGACTTGTGAAGGGAAGTCAAAAGCCTGTCGATTTATCTACAGTGAGAGGAAAGATGAAATGGGAGTAGAGATCCTGGTAGACTTACCCTTCTTGATCCTACATTCCCTCCCAACTTCTGCCTTTCTCTGCTGCTTAGACCTAAACTCCAAAAAATTTACTTACATTCACTGTCTCCAATTCTTCTCTCTTAGCTCTTAATTCTCCTCTGTTTGATTTCTCAGCCAGCCCCCCTCCACTCTCCTCAGCCTTATCAGGCAAGGATGCCATATTGTTCAGTGTTTTTCCAACTCTCCATCCTCAGCTTTATCTATCATCAGCATTTCATGTCATTGACCCCTTCTCCTCTTCTCAGCACTGGCTTCATTTGGCTGCTAGTCCTCTGCATTCTTCGGATTTCCCTCATACCTCAGTTGTTCCATCTTAGTGTCTTGCTGATTTCACTTTCTTCAGATCTGTACTTGAATATGACCTGTTAGTGAAGTCTTCCATAATGATTTAAGAAAGCATGCCCCTCCCAAACAATTTTGTTTTGTTTCACAGAGTATAGGATGCTTATGGGAGTTTCTTTGCTTCTTTGTGTGTGTGCGCACGCGTGTGCGTGTGTGTATGTGCACTTTACCTTAAAGATGTGTGTAAAGGTGGCACAGCGGGTTAAAGTAGAGCACTAAGAAGCTAAAGACACTTCAGCATGAGTTTGATACCCACCCCGAGGTGACTCTCCTGACCCATCCGCTGTTCCCCTCTACAGTGTGCTTCGTCGATCTGCCTGTTCTGCTCCCCACTCTGTCTCTGGTGAATCCTCTCATCCTCTGCATCTCTGGCCTATACCCCAGTTCTGTATGAATAAATAAATAAATCTTCAAAGAAAGAATTTCCAAAAAAAAAAAAAAAAAGAGGCTGGGTGATAGATATGTCAACGATCATTATACTATTCTCTCTAATTTTGTGTATGATTGCTATTTTCCAGAATAAACTTTTCTCAAAAGATGAGTTAAAAATGAAGTCTGAATTTTCATTGTAACCACTGAAGAGATTTACTTAGCAACACAAAATCTACCCACAAAAAAATCCCAGATGGTTTCATAGGCAAGCCTACCAAACTGTCAGGGAACAGTTCATTCCAACCTTAAAGGAGCAAACTCTTCCAGAGAACAGAAAGACAAAGCCAAAGCACAGTCCTCAGCTCATGGCCTGTTTAGCCTTGAGAACAAAAACAGGGAATGAGTGTATGAAAAAGAAAAGCACAGACCATTCTTACTAGGAAGGTAAATTAGAAGTCAGTAATAAAAAGATAAACGCAAACCCTTTTACAAGTTATGAGTAAACCAAATTCAGGTTTACTTAAATGACAATGTCATCATCAAATTGAGTTTATCTCAGAAATACAAGTGAATTGCTATTGGAAAATCTCTAAATATACCATATTAAAGATTGATTTATTTTTTAAAGATTGCTTCATCATAACCCTGGGCCAGCCACGCAACGCGGTCTCAAGGTAACCAGGCGCGCACACACAGGATTCTCAAGCAAAAGGAAGCTCCTTTATTGTTGCGATTCCTTCCTTATATATCCCACAGTCCCCGCCTCCGTACTTTTTCACCCCCTTGTTTGTACACAGTCTGAGCATTTAGTCCTGCGGACA